TGATAAATTAATGTATGTATACTTTTAGTATAATTTTAGATACATGCCTGCTTGATTGATTGATTTACTTGAGTAGTTGATTGATTGATTAAATAATCGAAAGGCATGGATATTGATTAAGTGTTTAGTTTTTGCAAATGTCATCCGTAACGTCCATGATCCCTAAAGTAGGGCCTAATCATACTACACCACTGTATGATGTTCAGGCAATTACTTGTTTGTTTTCTTTGTAGAAGGGAAGTAACCGACGCCAAGTGATATCAAATCTGTATCTATAAGACAAAATGGCCCCTAAAAAAGGTAACCTTTCATACTCATACGTATATTTATTGTCTTATAATAATAATAATTATTATTATTATTAATATTGTTATTATTATTATTATTATCATCATCATCGTCGCCGTCATTATCATTATCACGGTTATTGTTACTGTAATTGATCTTGTTACTCTTACTGATATTTTTTTAAATAATGTTATTTCTATTGTATTATAATACAAACGTACAGTATTATTATTATTATTATTATTATTATTAATATTATTATTATTATTATTATTATTATTATTATTATTATTATTATTATTATCACTAACATCTTCGCCGCCATTATCATTATGGTCATCATCATCTTTATTACGGTAATTATACTGTAATTGATCTTGTTACTCTTACTGATATTTTCTTAAATAATGTTATTTCTATTGTATTAAATTACTATAATACTGTACAAACGTATTATTATATTAATATTTTTTTCATGTTCGATACCATTATCATCATCATTAATAATATTACTTTTTAGTCTGCCATAAATTTAATGTTCTTGGCCTGCAATTTTTTTTATTTAACGAACAATTTTTCTATCATAATCTATTTTTATTTGCTCAGCAAAACAGTAGAGAGGGATTCCTTAACTATATAGCGTAAGCTGTTTTCTTGTGTTCATGCCCAGCTCATTAAATACATGTCTGGTGAAAACTCTCAAATCAATATGCAGATTAAAACCTCATAAATAGACATAGTGTACATTCACCCAGAGGTGACGGAACTAGGGGGTGCTGCGTTATGGAAGTAATGTGTGACCGGAAATGGTCTGCCAGTTGGTTGTTACCATGCGCCACTGATGTTGGAGTACAGCACTATTTATGTAATGCATGAATAAAGTTTGGGGTTTGTCGGGTGGTAAAATGATTATTGTACATTGTAAGTGCTCCCTCCATGCATACGTGGTAGCTAAATTACGAGGATTAATTAGCGAAGATATGGAGACAATTATTTCGAAGTTCCCTCCAAATGCTTTGTGAAAATGAGTACGCCGCGGTACTCATTTTCACAAAGGAATACAAGCAGCTGGTTAGTTAACAATATGCAAATGTCACATGAACACCTGGGAAGGAAGGTGTAATCACGTTCTGTTGCCTAGCAAACGTCTGTACTGTAACATGGGGGGGGGGTAGCCTACTGATGCACTGTGTATAGTGGGGGAAGATGAAGCATAATAATACTAGGCCTACAGTGCCATTATATGTGATAAAAAGTACACTTTCGAAAGAAACAAATTAAATTCAGTTGCACACGTACCTTGTTTAAGTAATACGCTAACTATGTGGCTCTCGTAGCCCTAGCTAAGCAAGGCATTCATGTGCAAAGCAGTAGTGTTTGTTTTTTCAACAAAAAAAAAAAAACACGGTTTTCACGGCATGCCGCCCTTAGCGGCGAGTGCGAAGCACAACTCAGGGTCAAAAGTGGAACGTGAAATTTCGATATGGTCCGGTTTTGTAGTCAGATTTGCAAGAGAAACAGCTACCCGTATTTCTTGACTGAGACGTCAGTGAGAGCTGTAATTTGTATGGCAAAGAGATTGTGCAACCCTTAATTCGTATTAAGGGAATTTACGCCCAGAAACCATGTAGTTATTAATATTTTGGTTATAATAGAAAATATTCATTTTTTTGGTGACATCACACTCACAATATAGTTAGCATGCATACGTCATAAGCTAGATTACGTCACCTTTTCCTGGTAAGGCAAACCTTCCCGGCGTGCTTTTTCATGGATAAACAAACATCACTGCTTTGCACATGGATGCCTTGTCCTAGGGCCACAAGAGCCGCGTTGTTAGCATTGAATAATACTTAAACAAGGTACCTCTGCAACTGAATTATTCCTA